CCAAAAATCAAATCAACATGCAAGTTGAAAAATCAGCTGTTGAAATGAGAACAAATGAAATAGAACGAATGTAAACATATCTCCATACTGTAGGTTATGTCAAAATTTTTTAATATTGCAATTCTTCGTTCAGTTTGACCGCGTCAGGTCTGCATTTTAAAATATATTAATTTTTCTATTGGAAAATTTTCTATCCACTTAACGCGATGGAGTCGAATTGATAAGTGGTTTCCAGTTAATATAGTCATATCTGATAGAGTTTTAATACAGAATTATATTAATTATATATTATGTCCCGAATATTAAATAGTTTGCTTATGAAATAGTAGTACATTATTATTTTATTTAACGGGTCTTTAGAAAAAGTAAGTATATCTCTTGTATTCCATTTATTAAGATATAAGAATGGTAAACCCTATTTATTCATATATATTACTTTAGTATGATTAACTATGAATCGACCATTATTTGAATATTGCCAAGTAATTCGTTTACTTAGAAGATGATAAATAAATATGGGTGTACTAATATTTTGCAGATTTTTTTAGTGAAAATGTAAGAATGTTGCTAAAAATTTGTTCAAACTCTAACCAGTTTTGAAGATAAATTATGCAAAAACACTTATTAGATTTTGGCAAGATTTTCATATTCGTATGCAAATACGTAATATATTTCAAATTTTGTACACAAAGTAAAATTTGTATATGTTAGTGAAAATGTGGTATTGTAACTAAAAATCTTGCCAATGTTTAACCAGTGTAGACGCAGTGTATTAAGTAATCTTTTAAATTTAACGACTATCATGCTCTCTTTTTATGAGAGTTTCCTTTTAGTAATATGGTAACCCTGTTTGATTTGATACGTGTCATTCGTATGCTGTGTTCGTAGATAAACGACTAAAGTGGACGGAGTTGGTTGCGTTTGTGAATTTGGTAACGGATACGTGGAAAATTAATAATTTTCTGAAAATAATAAGTAAATATGTTATAAAAATATATATTATAAAAAGTGATTTTAAATAGTTTCCTTTTTTATATATTAACTTCTTCATAAATAAATAGTTAACAAGTAGGAAAATATATAAATAGTTTTGAAATCATATTCATTCTAAAAGAAGAAAAACAAGTATTTACTTTCTCCATTTTTTTATAATAAATTGTCATTTTTTTTTTTAAAGATTTTCTGTTTTGTAAATAAAATTAAATACAACAACGAAAATGGCTCCACCACAAAGGATGCGTGTTGCAAATGAAAAGGCCAGCAAATATGTCACAATGCGAGGAAATGTACCAAAATCGTCGGTAAGGAATTACTTTCTTTTTGAAAAAAAAAATTAAAAAATAAGTTATACTATATTTTTAGGTAACATAAGTTTAAAATTTCATTGCAAAAATTATTAATATTTAAATATTAAAAATATCACATATGTTATTTTAAAACGTAAATAATTTGAAGTGCCACGCCGTCATTGATTTCCGACTCAAGTTTTTGTTGTTGTTTTCTTTTGTTTTGTTTTTACGCGTGCGAGAATTTTCGAATTTTATCAGTAAACGAATTTTGCTTAAATGCAGTTTCCATTGTTGATAAGATTAAAACACTTGTCGATGCTAAATTGCTTTATTTTATAAATTAAATATAATTTTTTATAAATGTTATTGCAAATAATATTCTAAATATATTTGTACGCCATATGCTTGCAATCTGCAAGAAGTCGCGGGGTCAATTGGAAATGGCAGTGAATTTTGTAGGCGAACAAATAGGTATAGACGACGAAAAAGTTACTAGTTTATCACTTTAAAATTCTAGCCCTAAAAATTATAATTTTGAAGTCTGTTAGCTTTGTTCTCATTTGTTAGAAATATATTTTCTAATAGACTAGTGGTTTCTTAATCGCTGTGCCGTTTGTCCTATCTCATGCAACAAATCTGGAATTACTGTATCTATATTTTTCTACTTTTTTTTGGAATCAGTTGATTATTAATAAAGTTCAGTCGTTTATCCTGAATTACCATGCAGAGGTAGAATAACGTCATACATACACGATATATTCATATACTCACTCAGTTGCCTTTTTGATTAGGCCTATTAAAGTAATATTTTTGATTTTATTAGTATTTTGTAAATTCTTTGAAATTTCTAATTGTTAGCATATACTAGCCACTCACTAACTACTGTTCGAATTCTGTCTTTTTCATGAAAATGACAATTCCGAACCGCTTCAAAATATAAAAGGTTAAATCACTAGTTACAAGTGCGGAATCTTAGTTCTATTCACTCCATTTTTCAAGCACTTGTTCCAGATCTTAGCTCTAATCACTTCTACTTTATCAGTTAAGATTTACTGTCTGGAAACTGAATTTGTCTGTTTGTGTGTGTAAACCTCCAATTATCTGCTAACTGGAACTTTGTTACTATTATGGCTCCAATGTATTGCCTAATGACAATACCCGTACACGGTGAAGGAATATAACTAGAAATACAGTCAAGTCGCCAATTGTCTACGGTATTTAGTGTAAGGTTACCATGTCAGCAAATATTCAAGATCCATTTGTCCAATCCCTTATAAGTTTCCGCTTACGCGTTTTCATATTTTTGAATTATTGCAAACATTATTTTGAGAGGTTAGAACTCTAAATGAGGCTTATCTAAATAGAAGAAGAAATACTCTTTGTGTTTATCTATTTTTATATTTCTACCCACGGTTGCCACTTGAAAATTTTTTTCTGTACCAAAATTGGTTTAAAAAGGTACCATTTCTGTAAAAAAAGGTCCAAAATTTTTTTTGGACCTTTTTGTTTTCTCGTTCTGTGTTTTTCATAGTGTTATAAATGAACAAAATATAAAATAGTGCAAAGTTGCATTTATAAAAAAAATTAATTGGAAATATCCACAATAAAATTGGGTCGTCAAAAATGTACCAGTTTTTGAAAATGAGTACCAAATGAAAAAAAAAAAAAAAAAAGTACCAATTTTGGTACTAAAGTACCATAAGTGGCAACCGTGTTTCTACCTTTCTCCATGTTTATCTATTTTCAAATTGCCTCTCTCTCTCTCTGTTTATCTACCTCTCTCTTTGTTTGTATCCACGGTTGCCACTTATGGTACTTTAGTACCAAAATTGGTACTTTTTTTTTTTTTTTTTTCATTTGGTACTCATTTTCAAAAACTGGTACATTTTTGACGACCCAATTTTATTGTGGATATTTCCAATTAATTTTTTTTATAATTGCAACTTTGCACTATATTATATTTTGTTCATTTATAACACTATAAAAATCACAGAACGAGAAAAAAAAAGGTACAAAAAAATTTTGGACCTTTTTTTACAGAAATGGTACCTTTTTAAACCAATTTTGGTACAGAAAAAAATTTTCAAGTGGCAACCGTGTTTGTATCTATCTCTCGCTCTCTTTCTCTGTATATATCTCTCTCTCTCTCTCTCTTTCTCTGTATATATCTCTCTCTCTCTCTCTCTTTCTCTGTATATATCTCTCTCTCTCTCTCTCTCTCTTCCTCTGTTTATCTACCTCTCTCTCTGTTTATCTATCTCTCTTTTTGTGTGTATCTATCTCTCTTTTTCTTCAGTTCGAAGTTATTCACCTATTTTGCCTTGCAGATTCCAGGATAGGATTAGCTTTGAGATGTGATTTTTAATTGCCTTATAGCATGCCTGTGTTCTCGTTTTATTAATAATGACCTTTCAGCAGTTCGCAGAAAGCGATTATAGCCTTTGTCATCTATATTTAATTTAAATTTAATGTGAAATATATTCATAGTCATATTTTTTTATATTCATTATGTCAATTATCGATTAATTTACTAATAAAAATATATTTTGATTTTCAGAAAGTAAAAGAAAACCAATATCCAGTTGGTCCATGGTTACTGGCATTGTTCATTTTTGTTGTTTGCGGAT